ACGTGGATGGAACTAGAATGTATTATGCTAAGTGAAGTAAATCAGTCAAAGAAAGATAAATATCATATGACTTCACCCATATGTGGAACTTAAGAAATAAAATGGGGGAAGGGAAGGAAAACTAAGATAAAAACAGAGAGGGAGGCAAACCATAAGAGATCCTTAAATACAGAGAACAAACTGAGAGTTGCTGGAGGGGTGGTGGGTGGGAGGATGGGCTAAATGGGTGCTGGGCATTAAGAGGGCACTTGTTGGGATGAGCCCTGGGTGTTACATGTAAGTGATGAATCACTGGGTTCTTCTCCTGAAACCAATACTATACTGTACATTAACTACCTTGGATTTACATAAATTTTTTTTTTAAATAAGGGACAGGTGATTATAACTGACCTCAAAAATACCTGTATTATTGACTAAAAGTAAAATAGATAGATCATACATACATACATAATACATACATACCTACATACATACATACATAAAAATTCCAGTTAGTTAACATACAGTGTAAATTTACTTTCAGGAGTAGAATTTAGTGATTCATCACTTACACACAGCACCTGGTGCTCACCACCAGTGCCCTCCTCCTTAATCCCCGTCACCTATTAAACCCATCCTGGGGGTGCCTGGGTGGCTCAGTCGGTTAAGCGTCCCACTTTGGCTCAGGTCATGATCTCATGGTTCGTGGGTTTGAGTCCTGCGTCGGGCTCTGTGCTGACAGTTCAGAGCCTGGAGCCTGTCTTCAGATTCTGTGTCTCCCTCTCACTCTGACCCTCCCCTGTTCATGCTGTCTCTATCTCTCTCTCAAAAATAAATAAAACATTTAAAAAAATAAAAACCCATCCTGATACCAGAGATTCTTAATCAAAAGTCAGCAGATCCCTTGACTTCGAGGATTCTGTGACCCTCCGCAGTGGTTGCAAAATGTCATGTGTATGTGCCTGTGTATGTTTTTCTGAGAAGAGAAGCCACAGCTTTGATTTTAGGAGACACGCTGGTACTTGATATTTTATGGCTGGGGAAACACCGGAATACCCAAATCCTATCTTAGTCTTACTGTTCCAACTTTCCCCGAAATTCCTAAGGAGACTCTGCCTCAGGACAGTGACAGATGGGGAAAAAATAGAGCCACTGACTTGTTCCATGTGCCAGTTCCCGGGGCTCTCATGCAGGGCTCCCTGGGACTTGAGGCCAAGCACAGGCCTCCTTTCCCTTGGGGGACCTGCATTGTTCCCCCTGAGCAGGGAGCAGAGGCTGAGATCAGGAGCTGGGCCTGTGCTGCCTGGGAGCAAGAAGTCAAAAAGAGAAGGGTGTGTTTGTGTGTGTGTGTGTGTGTGTGTCTGTGTGTGTTACTTGTAGCCTTATCCCAATAAATGTGATGCAGTGAGTACCCTCAAACCTAAGTGGCCAGATCAGCTGCTTCTCCTCCCCACTGAAGGTATTGTCAGATTCTCACCGAAGGTTTGAAGTTATAAGCTAATTTCCCTCAGTTTCACATAGTGGTCACCTGTGGGACTTCAGACGCTTCAGAGAAGGTGTCATGGAGAGAGCCAGATTCTGAAGTTGGATCCAGCCAGACTGTTTCCTCACCTCTCTGAGCCCCGTCCCCTCCGTGAAATGGGATGGGGGCACCAGCCAGGCAACCCCTACTCACCCCAGAGCTGCTGGAGGCAGAGGGGAGGTCTCATTCATCCTCACCCCAGGTCCCAGGCTTCCTGAGGTAGGAATGGTAGTGATGATGATAAACAGTGTAGAGAAAGAACACCCATCTTGGCTTTATGACACTCGGCTTTGAGTATTGGCCCGGCCACTTGTGTGACCTTGAGCATGTTGCTTCATCTTGGGATCTCTAGCTGTGAAGTGGGGGAGAACGGAGGAGATATCAATCAAGCAATGTCTGTGAAAACTAGCCAGGAGCCTTGCGCACACCGGCTGTGCCCGTTCCTGGCTCTTCCAAGCAGCCCCTGTGCCCTCTGCTCTTCAGGTGTGGGGGACAGGCATGGGCAGGAACCCCAGGGGGAGAACTGTTGGGGCCTGCCGGGCTCCGCAGAGGGGACGGGGGCCCGGCACAGGCTGGCACCTGCCGTTCCTTTCAGTCCACACCTGGCCCTCCCAGGAGGGGCTCCTCCCCAGGTCTACATAAGATCTCGGTCATCTCCACACCTGCCTTTCCTACCGGCTCCTGTCACCTCTGCCCTTGGGTCTGTGGGATTCTAAGAAGATAGAACTGAAAGAAACAGGTGACCGAGTAAGCCAGGATGGACCGGAGATCAGCAGAATTTAATGTGGATTCCCAGGTTCCTGTTTTGGAAGATGGGTGGAGAGTAGAAGAGAGAACACAGGAGGCAGAGCAGATCTGGGGAAGCCAGAAACCAGGTCCGTGTCCAGCAACAGCGTATTGATTAAATAAGTTACAATGCATCCTGGTGACACAGTTCTTAGAAAACACACTTTTGATGTGTGTACCATTCAGTTACACGGATGTATCGCTTTAACCAAACCTTTGTTGTAAGCCTCTAGATTTTTTTTTAATAGTTTTTCTCTTTTGTGAATAACACTGTAGTAAACTCCTTTTTCCAAGGGCCTTCACCCTTCTGACTACTTTTAGAAGAGAACTATTGCAGTCATCGGATATAAAAACAACTTGGAAGCTTTTGATACCTATTGTCAGGTTGCCTTTTTTGTTTTAAGTTTATTTATTTTGAGAGAGAGCAAGAGCGTGCATGTAAGCCGGGGAGGGGCAGAGAAAGAGGGAGAAAGAGAGTTCCAAGCAGGCTCAACACTGTCAACACAGAGTCCAGTGTGAGATCTTGCTAACTGCAAGATCATGACCTGAGCTGAAATTAAGAGTCAGCCACCTAACCAACTGAGCCACCCAGGTGCCCCTCACATTGCCTTTTAGAAAAGCTCTACCAATTTTACTCCTATAGCAACACCGGAGAATTCTACCTAGGTGTGCATTCCGCCACAAGCACCAAGATACATACACAGAGACGCATACACATGCATACACATTCTTCAAAGGATAACATATATATATATATATATATACTTTTGGGCTATCTCGTATCACTGAGCTTTGTGTTATACACGACTATTATACATCTATCAGTATCTTAGTAATTGCAAATTCACAGTATATTCTTAATATCTTATTTGTTTCTTTAGAGAATGAGTGGGGGAGGGGCCATAGGGAGAGAATCTCAAGCAGGCTCCAGGCTCAGTGCAGAGCCCGACAGGGGGCTCAATCCCACAACCCAGGGATCATGACCTGAGCTAAAGTCAAGAGTTGGCTGCTCAACCAACTGAGCCACCCAGGCTCCCCTCTAAATATCTAATTTTTAAATTTGGGGGCTGTTTTACCTGTTAAATATATTGGGTGGGTTTTTAGAATCCTTTCAGTAAATTTCAAAAGTCCTATTGGCATTTTTCTTAGACTTCTCTTAAGGCTACATTAATCAGGGAGGGTGTGCCATTGTGTTACTATTCAGCCTTCCAATCTAAAAACATGGCTTATCTCCAACTTTTTTTCAAGGCCTCTTCTTATATCTCTCAATGAAGGATTGTAGTGAGGGGCGCCTGGGTGGCTTAGTCGGTTAAGCGTCCGACTTTCGCTTAGGTCATGATCTCGCGGTTCGTGGGTTCGAGCCCCACGTCGGGCTCTGTGCTGACTGCCAGCTCAGAGCCTGGAGCCTGTTTCAGAGTCTGTGACTCCCTCTCTCTCTGACCCTCCCTGCTCACGCTGTCTCTCTCTCTCTCTCTCCTAGAAATAAATAAAAAAATATTTAAAAATTAAAAAAAAAAAAGGATTGTAGTGAGTTTTTTTTTTTAATTATACTTCAGTTTATTACTCAGTTTTGGTGTTTTTCCTTAGGATTGTAGATGAGATCTCCTTTGTATTATATCTGGTGACTGTTTCCTGTTGGAGTACAGATCCCATTACTAAATTATTCTGCGCCTTCTAAGTTTAATTGATTCTTTTCGGTTTTCTAGGCAAAGAACAAACAGCCTGAAATAACAGGTTAGAGTCCATGGCTTGGTAATGCCTCCAGTCTGCAGGGTTACTGTGACTCTCTCCAGAAGTATCTAGAGCCCAGTTGTAAGGGTGGTGAAGGTGGGTGAATGGGTTGAGCCCAAGTTCATGGGTTCCCTAGGCTGGGGCAGTAGAAGAGCAAGGGGCAAGGGACTGAGGGAGCTCACAAGAAAGCTGACGTGATCTGCTTCAGGGACTAGACCAGGAAGGGCTTGTGTACTGAGAGAGGTAGGGCTGGGAACTGGAGGAAGGGAGAGAGGAGACGAAGGTGTGGCCCTGGAACGGACACTGGGATGTCACGTTTCAGAGCTGATGCCTTTCCTGTATGGGACTGTGCTCCCAGAGATCTCCACTTTGCAGTTAAAGAAACTGCAAGTTCAGAGAGCTCGTCACTTGCCTAACGTCACGCGCCGCTAATCAGTGGCATACTGCGTTCAGCTGTGCCTTACTAGCTCACGTTCTGTCCTTATTTTTCAGGTTCACTTTAGAACTGTTGACTGAAAGCAAGGAGAGACAGCAGAAGGGAAAGGAGGCGAGCCCAGCAGAGCAGATAGGAGAGAGAGGGCAGGCTCCTCGTGGGCCTCTCAGCTAGCTGCAAACAGGAGGGGACAGCTGGCCCGCTGGGTCTCCATGCTGATCCAAGAATCCCCTCCGATGGGAACAGCACACCCCAGTGCCCCACACTGTGTGCCCCTGCCCTGCAGTTCACTCTGGGTCCACCATTACACGCTGTGGCCCCACCATGTGCTCATTGTTCTGCCCCACCCACTGTGTGTCTGTCATACCTCCTGTTTCCCCCACCCGCCCCCCCCCACACACACCAGGTCATCCCTCTAACGGCGTGTTTATCCCACATGTGCCCACACCTTGTTTCTCGTTTGCCTGCACACACTTGGGGCCCGGCCACGCACGCAGTCCCATTACAAGCTGTGTGCCCAGCTCATGCCCACTTATGCTGTGTCTACAGAGTGCGTCGGATGGCTTCTGGAAATCTGTGGCTACTCGAGTGCCAAAGGAGCCCCCTGAGATCCGCATCCTCAACCCGTATTTCATCCAGGAGGCCGCCTTCACTCTCATCGGACTGCCCTTCAACAATGGCCTCATGGGCCGCGGGGTGAGATAGCAGGGCCCCGGGAGAAGGCAGACGGGAGCTGGGTCAGAGAAGCTATGGGAGGGAAGGACGGGGAGGCAGGGTGAGGGGCAGAGGGCTTGTTCCTCAGAAATGGAACTCAGCTCTGGTGAGTGTCCCTAAGGGTCTCAGCCTGACTCGGTCCTCCAGCTGAATTCTACACTTCCTCCCTCCCCTCCAGAACATCCCGACCCTCGGCAGTGTGGCAGTGACCATGGCACTACACGGCTGTGATGAGGTGGCAGTCGCAGGCTTTGGCTACGACATGAGCACTCCCAATGCACCCCTGCACTACTATGAGACCGTGCGAATGGCGGCCATCAAAGAGGTGCCGGGCTGGTTGGGGGGCAGTCCCTGGGCAGGGCCAGCAGAGGGGTGTCCCGGCACAAATGAACAGAAAGGGGTGAGCTGGTCTGGCTGCCCAGAGCTCGCAAGAAGGCTCTGCCCTGCCCTTAGCTAAGTTGGCTCCCTGGAGGTCCATCCATGCATTCAGGCCTCTGATCACTGAGCTCTCTGCCCCTGAACCCAGCACCCCTTTCCCCACCCTTCTCCCCAGACTTTCCCTCCCTGGCCCTCTCCCTGCACCTGCCTCATCCTTGCTGTTCCCAACTGCCTTATGCTCATGCTGGCACCAGCCCAGGGCCGTCTTCTCTCCTGCAAGTCCTACCTTCCCCCTGAGGACTTTAGTGCCCCCTCAAACACCCACAGACATTGCCTCTCAGTCCCCCGTACCTCTTCTGCCCTCCCCTGTGAAGGAAAGCGCTGAAGCTCTCCATCGCCCAGCATTGCTTCCCAAGTGATCCCCACGTTCAGTTGCCTTCGTGTTCCAGAAGCATTCCAGGTCTCCTGGGCTGTCAGTCAGCCTATTCCAGTCACATCTCTGCCTTCACATCCAGGGCCTGTGTGAACCCCTCTTACAGTTCCCTCCACCTCCGCCACTAGCCTTCCACTGATGCCAGCTTAGAACCTGAACATTTTGGGCCAGCACTTGGAGAAGCTTCTCTGCTCCCACAAGGGAGGGGAGGTTGGGGGCGTTGGAGGACACCTCCCATCTGTTCAGATTCTATAAATGTAGGGGTTCCCATCTCAGCCAGCCGTCCTTCCTGCTCACCACCTGTGGGTGCGCCTTTCTCCCACCCCAGAGCCTGGTCCTCCCTGAAAGCCCCCCGCCCTCCTCCTGTCCCACGGGGAAAACTGTCAGCTCCTGCTGGCTCGTGCCCGCTGCCCTCCCCACTCCCTCCCAGCCTGGCTTCCTCCACCACCTGCCAAGACTCCCATTAAGGTCACCAGTGACTCACCTCAAGGCTGCCAAATCCAGTGGACACACGTTTCCTGACCTCTCAGCAACACGCTTTATGTTGACTACTCCTTCCTCTTTGAAACTTCTCCTGCTCAGGCTTCCGAGTCAGGGATTTCTGGCGTTCCTCTCATTTGGCTTGCCAGTCTCTCTCATTCGCTCTCTCAGCATCTTTGATTTAAGAGTCAGCATTCGCTAGGGCTCCGTCCTGGACAGCCTTCTCCTCTCCCTGTACACATTCCCCAGGAGATCGACACCCCTATCCATGGCTTCAGTTGCCGTCTATATTGTGTCACGTTCAGGGGTTCACTCAAGCCATTCAAGTAATGGGAAGTTATGGGGAGACTTTAAGAGAGACTTGGGAAACCAGAAACTGCCTTACAGATGGGCCTCCTATTGCCTGGAATGGGGTTCAGGAATGGGGGGCCCACGTCGGGTCCAGCACAGCTCCAGAACTGTCTGACCCCATCCCCCTCAGCAGTGGCTGATTGCCAGGAGCCTGTTGGTCTTTCCATCTGACTGTCTTCATGTATCTTCTTGCTTTTTCTGTGCCCTCCCAGCACCCACCCTGAACCACTGGCACAGCTTTTACCCATCTCCTGGCTTCTCTTCCCTCGCATCTGTGCTCTTTTACATACTCCCTTTATGTAAACTTTGTGTCAAAGTGGCAGGCAGGCAGCGAAAGGCTGTAGACACGGGCTGTAGCCGGGTCACTCAGGACTTTCTGTGCCACAGTGAGGAGCTTGGACTCTACTCCGAAGGCCAGAAGGAGCCATGGAAGGATTTTAGGCTGTAGATTAGCATGTAGTAGGCCACTGCGCCTGCTGCATGAAATAGAGTAGCACAGACTTCAGTACAGGGAACAAACTGAGGGTTGCTGGAGGGGAGAAGGCGGGGGATGGGCTAAATAGGTGATGGGCATTAAGGACGGCACTTGCTGGGATGAGCCCTGGGTGTTATATGTAAGTGATAATCACTGGATTCTACTCCTGAAACTGATACTACACTTACGTTAACTAACTTGAATTTAAATAAGTTAAGTAAAAAACAACAACAGAGGGCACTAGGCGGAGGCTGTCACAGCAGTCTCGGCAAGAGATGAAGACTCCGGACCAGGAACTGTTCCGTGTCGATGAGAAGACAGAGAAAGACCCAGAATTTTAAATCGGCAGGGCCCAGGCTTGCCTCCATGCAGGAAGGAAGGAGAAGGGACAGCACCTTCCCTGAAAAGCCCTCTGGTGGAGACTGTTCCCTTTCTTCCAGGCGCCAGATCTCCATTTTTAGTCCAAACCACCCCCGCCCAACCCCGCTCTTCTGCCAACCGGGCTGGCTTGAGGCTTACGGTGTCTGCCGCACCCCCTTCATGCAGGGCGCTAAGGAGTTTGAGCCATGACAGCAAATGGCCTGGGTTCAGAGCCTGGCTCTGTGCTTTCCTTTCCTTACCAATAAAAAGGGTAATAATGATCGCATCTACCCCCTTGGGGAAGATTAGATGTGATAATGCTTTATTTAAATTAAAAAAAAAAAAAAGGCCTGGCACAGAGTAAGTACTCATAAATGTCAGCCAGTGGTACTAATATTAATGTTTTACCCCTGCTTCTCACTGTAACCTTCCAGCGTCCCGGACGAGGATGCCCTGGAAATGCCAGTGCCTGGGTTTAGGGCCCGGCCATCACCTTGAGTGTCCCAAGTAGGCAAGTGACCCATGCAGCAGCCTGGCCCCACCACTGCTTCCCCTTCACTTGGCTGATGGCCCCATTCTCCAGGCCCAGCGGAAGTGTGCGGGCTGGGGAGGCCAACGGAGCAAGGATTGCATGCTGGGGGATGTGCATGGGATGTCAGAGGAGGTCAGAGAGGAGAAGAGTGAAAGGACAGAAGCCATAGGAAGGTACAGGGTCGCGGGTACCAAGGGAGCAGCGTTCGGGGACCATCTGCTGTGTGGGGAGCTGTCCAGAAGTCCAACAAGATGAGGACTGGGAAATCGCCAGTGGCGGCACCAGTGAGGGGCCCCGTGGACGGTGGAGGGAGCGGCTTCAAAGGCCGGTGGCCAGGAGCTAGACTGCCAGCTGAGCGGTGGGTAAAGGCGGTACAGAGAGGACAGAGCAGCAGACATGGTGCACAGGACGTGCTCCTGGGGAGTGTGGATGAGGAGGAAGAGAAGGACAGAGCAGCAGCTCGCCCGAGGCTAAAGCAGCCCACAGAGGACTGTGCCACACAGCAGAGAGACTCAGTCTGGAAATGTCCTTTTGTGAGTTGTGAGCGCAGCCGCCTGTTCAGATAGAAGGCTGGCATGGACAGGATCGCCCAGCGACCCGACAGAGTAGGAAGTACAGGTGGTCAGGGCAGCACTGGCATTTAATGACTAGGGGAAGGACAGGGAGCCAGAGAGGAAGACAGAAGAGGGGCTGTCAGAAAGACAGCTGCATCCAGAATCAGGGGGTCTGCCGAGGCTGGGGACCCAGGACCACCAGAGTTCTGCCTCAGCCCATACACAGTATAGACAACACAGCGCTGACAGCTCAGGTGGGCTCCTGTGCCGTCTGTACAGAAGGGAGAATGAGGAGGCATTGCCTAGTCCGAGAGAGCTACACCCCAGGGCCAGCCTTTTAGTTTGTGATTTCATTATGGACACTGTCTAATGTGTTCATAAATACAGAGAATAATGAACTGTCAAGCACCCATCACCCACATCCCTCAGTGATCGACACATAGCCAGTGTTTCATCCGTTCTTCCTTTCATGCGCCTCTCCTCGCTGATTATTTGGAAACAAGTCTCTGATATCGTATTGTTCCAGCCATGAATATTTCAGTTAACTTTCTCTAAAAGATAAGAGCTTTTTGAAAATTACCACAATACCACTATCACACCTAAAAAAATTAATAGTCTCTTAATGTCATAAAAAAATGTCCAGTCTTGGGTCATCTGGCTGGCTTAGTCAGAAGAGCATGCGACCCTTGGTCTCGGGTTTGTGAGTGTGAGCCCCACAATGCATGTAGAGATTACCACAAAAAAAATAATAAACTTAAAAAAATGTGCAGTCTTCCACTGAACTTTCAAACATTGGTGATTCCCAGTGGGTGTTCTTGAAACTAGCCCATCAGATTGATTGCTTCCTGGTGGGGGTGTTGGAGGGGATGCATAAGTAAAGAGCAGCGTAAGTTTCTACATTTGTTCAGATCCTGGCCCTGCCATTCCTCTAAGCCTCCGTTTCCTTCCTTCCTTCCTTCCTTCCTTCCTTCCTTCCTTCCTTCCTTCCTTCCTTCCTTCCTTCCTTCCTCCCTTCCTCCCTCCCTTCCTCCCTCCCTCCCTCCCTTTCTTTCTTTCTTAGAGAGAGAGAGAGCACAAGCAGGGAAAGGGCAGAGAGGAGAGACAGAATCCCAAGCAGGCTCCATTCCATCAACGCAGAGCCCGATGTGGGGCTTGAACTCCCAAACTGTGAGCTCATGACCTATTCTGGGATCCAGAGTTGGACACTCAGACGCTTAAGCAGCTGCACCATCTAGGCGCTCCTAAGCTTACCACAAAATCTAATTTCATTCAGTATATGTTTATTGAACACCTACTTTGTGCCAAACAGTCCCTGCCTTCAACGGGAGAGTATGCCAGATCAACTCTCCAAGGAATGAGGGCAAATCATGCTGGGAGTCTGCAACAAGGAGGGGCAACTCACAGACAGCAGAGTGTAATGACGGAGCCTCAAGGGAGCCAGAGGTTTTAGGGAGTTTGTAGGGACAGTTGTGTAAATGGACCAATAGAGAGAGGAAGGCTCTGCAGACCTTCAGGTGCCGTGGAGCGTGGAGTGGGGGAGAGGAAAACAGTCCCCACTTGAGATGTGTCTGAGGGACACTGTCCTTAGGGACAGCTGGGTTTGTGGTTAGCACAGGAAGCTGAGGGGGAGGGGCACCTGGGTGGCTCAGTCAGTTGTATGTCTGACTTCAGCTCAGGTCATGATCTTTTGGTTCATGAGTTTGAGCCTTGCAATCGGCTCTGCGCTGACAGCTCAGAGCCTGGAGCCTGCTTCAGATTCTGTGTCTCCCTCTCTCTCTGTCCCTCCCCCACTCACACTCTCTCTCAAAAATAAATAAACATTTTTTAAAAATTAAAAAAAAAAGAAGTGGAAGGAGATGCTCAGAGGATATAGGGAATTTTGCCTGAGTTTCAGATTAAAAAGAAATGGCCGGCTGGAGAAAGCTGACTGAATGGGAACAGGGACAGGACAGAGTTCTGCATCCTTAGCATCAATAAACAGTGCTTGTTAACATCGCTGTGAGGCTCAGTGCTGACCCACATAGCAGAGCAGTCAGGTGGGTACAAACTATGAAGAGGCTGTCCACTCTCACTGAGTCAGTCAGTCAGCCCTTTATCATTTTCTGAGAGACTTAGCCATCAGAGCCTCCTGGTGGGAGTACGGGGGACAGGAAAGAGCCCGAGCCTGGGTGCAGTCTTCCCCCAGGAAAGCCCCAGAAGGTGGCATCTTCCCTATAATTCCCACATTAACAGTAAGGTGAACCTCTTGTCCTCAGGCCCCCTGGCTCCTCTGATCTGAGAGGCAGGATTTCATCAGCTGCCCCCAGGCCTGGAGACCGGATTGCATCAGGCCAGAGAATGACTAAGCCACCCCACGCGGTTCTCTTTCCAGCAGGGCCCACCTGCCAGGCCTGGGCCAGATCTAAGTGACTCACATTGCCTATCCTCAGGGTGCCTAGGACCTAGGTGCCCTGGACATACAGCCAGACAAGGAGGTGCTGAAGTCTGTGGGAGTAAGGTTGGAAGGCCTACATCCAAGACTTGGAAGAAGAGAAGAGGCAGAGTTCTCCCAGGGTGGGGGTGGGGGGAAGGTGAGCTGTGGCACTTCTAGAGCAGGTTTCCCATAGTCACAGGGCACGGGAGGGTGGTGGTCAGAAGAGGGCACCGAGCTCAACGTATCACGTCTCCATGTCTTTCCTCCCAGTCCTGGACGCACAATATCCAGCGAGAGAAAGAGTTTCTGCGGAAGCTGGTGAAAGCACGGGTCATCACCGACCTAACCAGTGGCATCTGAGGGGAGCCCAGCACATGGCCACAGAGGTCCTGGCGCCGCCAAGAGCGAGCAGCAGCCACCGCCACCTGCCCACTTCATCGGCCATGGTCTAGCTCTGCCTGAAAGGCACAGGAGTCTTTAGACCCAGAGAAGGACAGTGCCAAATGGCCCCAGGGGTGGCAAGGCCTTGGCAGGGCAGCCAGAGCTGTGTCTGCCCAGAGGCCGGCTTCAGAGACCAGTACTTGGCCTCATTCTCAGCCTGGGTCCTTGAAGCCAGAGGGCCAGGAGGCCACCAGCCGTGCCCAGCAGGCACAGCATGCAGGAGGTGGAAGCCAGGCAGCAGGGCTGCTGCTAGAATCATTTCTCCAATCAGTGTTTGGTGTATTATCATTTTGTGAATTTGGGTTGGGGGGGAGGGGAGGGATAATTTATTTTTAAATAAGGTTGGAGATGTCAACTTTGGTCCACTCGCCATGCAGAAAGAGGCCCACTGGGAACCCATCAGGTCGTGGTACCAGTGGGCTCCCTATAGAGTAGGGGCGCCATGACTAGCCTGGGCCCTGCTCGGGACTACAGGGGAGGTGGGCAGGATCTCATGCCAGCCCTCTACAGCTCATGGCACTGTTGGCCTTTCTTAAGGAGAAGATGGGGTATTCCCATTCACCAGCCCCTAACGACCCCAACAGGGAATCCCTGGAGCCATCATGTAAGCCAACAAGACAGCCCCTGGGTTAAGCAGAAAGAACTACGGAGCTCGGGAGATGGGGCCTGGCCCAACGTGATAGGAATAGCCCCCCTCCCCAGCTGCAGCTGATCCACAGGACAGCGCCCCAGCCTGGACTGACCAACCGGCAGCTGTTCTGGACTTCAGCAATGAGACTGCCAGGTCCTTGGGCTCTGCCTTTAGCTTGGACCAGAGGGAAGTGAGGCTCGAGGACCTTACCCAGGCTGTGGCAGCCATCCTGGAAGCAATAAAGCTCTTCCCTGAATCTGGCCTCCTCTTGTTTTCTCGGACTTTCCTGAAAGAGGCAGGAACCTGGGGCCTCAGCAACTATGTTAAACTCAAGGGCCATCTCTCTAGCCCACAGATTCCTGGGTCTCTTTCCCTTCTCGTGTCACCTGCTGGACCCAGGTAGCCACCTAGGTGCCTCCTCAAGCCCCTCCCACCCCAGACAGTCCTACACCCTCTTTGCCTTAAGAGAAGCAGACCAAAGGTATAAGGGCATGCCCCAGAGTCTGCCCTGGTCCTCCTAAAGAGCCACTGAAGTCCACAGCCTTAGGATGGCACCTTTGGGTACCCAGAGCCCCAGTTCTGCAAGCAGGGACAGAGATTGCTACAGGTGAAGGAAAGGTCTATACTGAGCCTCTGACACAGGTTCAAAGACCTTACCTGCTCCTGGAGCCCCCGGCTGAGCTCTGGAGAGAGTATGTCCCACCCCAACCCAGAGCACAAAGGCTCACCTCTCCCCACAAGAAACAGGAAGGCACAATGCACGCTAGGCACCCTCAGGTGAACATTAGAAACGATATCCCCACCCCCACCCACTTAGAGCACTAGAATCTGATCCCTCCCTTTCCAGCAGCCCTGGGCAGGCCTGAGAATGGGACAAACATAAACCTGCATCTGAAGCCATGGAGGGAGCTTCCAGCCAGAGCTGTCATTACGGCAGTAAGTGAGGCTGGCGGCCCCCTCACCTCTCACCTGCCATCCCACTCCAAGCATCCTTGGCATCCCAAGGACCACTGGCTTCCCACTTGCCCCCTTCCTACCATGGCTTGTCCTCAGGCAGAAGCCTCCTCAGCTGAGGGGAAAGCAAGACTGAATGAGAGACAGGCACACCCAGAACTCTCTTGGGATTGTGCTGGAAACTGGGCACAACTCCAGGGCACATCATATTCTATGGGAATGGCGCCCCCTGGAGTTGTACAGAGCATAGGCCACATGCCTACAAGAGGCAGCCACGGCTGATAAAGCCCCAGGTTGCTGGAGGCAGCAAAAAGAGGAGCTACTCACTGCTCGGCCCCCTGTCCTACCGGGGTCCAGTCAAGCCTGCAGACAGCCACCACCAGCTCTCTGTGGTCTGGCTTCCCCTGCACAGAAACTGCTCTCACAAAAGCTGTGGTTCTCAGCCCTGGCCATGTGCCAGAATAACCTGTGCAGATTGGGAAAACTGCACATGCCCACCCCAAGATTCTGATTCAGGTCTGGGGTGGAGCCCGGAGGTGGGTGGTTTTAAAAGGTCCACGGGTGGTTCTGATGCATAGTCAAGGTACAGCTGGTCCGCACACGTCCCCTAAGCACTTTCATCCCCACCCATGGTTTCCAGTTGTCAGTTGGTCAACAATTCCCAAATTGCCATCCCCACCCCAGCTCTCTCCATGTTGCTGCAGGCTACGGATTCAGCTACTTCCTGAACATTGCCATTGGGGTAATCCACACGTCTGACACAGAACTCATGAGCTCCTGTCCCCCACCAGCCCCTCCTGCGGGGAGCCCCAGCTGCCAGCATGCATCATCTCCACCTGGTTACCCAGGCCAAAGGCATACCTTGGTCTGTCCTACCTCTCCACCTCATCCAATTGGGCGCCAACGTGATTTTCAAGAAGCTGTGCTACAGAAAGGGCCTTGCAGCCCTCCGCCAGCCCCACATCCCTGCCTCAGACTCCTCTCTCCCCAGCAGCCTCCTCCCATATCCTCAGACCGTCCACCCCACTGCGGCCAGTCACTGAAATGCATGTCTGGTCACGCCATTCTCCTCCTGCCTGAAACCCCTCAGTGGTCCCCAGTGCCACCGGGGTAAAGTCCAGACTCTAGTATGACACACAGCATCTGGCCTTTCCTTACCTCTACCCATGTTACTCACTCAACCTCCACCCCACCTGCTAAATTGCCGTAATTAGGCACTTGAAATACTACCCTCCCGCTGCTGCCTCAAAGCCTCAGCACATGTTTCCCCTCCGTGACCCTCCCTTCTCCAGCCCGGGCACCCGCTCCCACCGGCACTGTCCTGGCGATGCCGGGCTGGGCAGCGGCGTCCGCGGGTCTGTCTGCACTCCAAGCCCCAGGCGGCGGGACGGCTGGAGGTGGGGTCCGGCCTCCAGGAAGCCCCGCGCAGCGCCTCACCAACCTGAGTCCCGTGGGTCCGCTGGGAGAAGCAGCTAGCTGTGGGCCGGACAGCAGGGAGCGGTCACTGCGGGCCGGCCAGCCGGGACCCCAGAGACCACATGGACTGCAGGGCCTGCGGGCCGAGGCTAGGAATGGCCTGTCCCCTCCCTCCCCGCCCTCAGCCCAGCCTCCCAACTCCCTACTTCGCGTGCCTACAAACTCTGAACGCCCAGTTCCCGCGCCTCTCCGCCGCCTGGGTTCTCCGCTCTGCGTCCCAGGGTCCCCTCCCAAGTCTCCTCCTCCAAAGCTCGGGGGGCCTAGGGTAGCTGGGGAGGGCGGGGGGACTCGATCCCTGCAGGTGGAGCGGCCAGGTGAGCCCTGAAAGGTGGGGTTGGGCGGGGGCGCTCCGGGCCCCACCCCGGGATCCGGTGACGCCGGGGCTGGAATTTGACACCGGATGGCGGCGGGCATGAGGCTGCTGAGGGATGGAGTTGGGCCCGGCCCCCAGACACGGCTCAGGGGCTCGGCCAGCAGCAGGTCCCTCGGCCCGGCCCTCACCGCGTCCCGGACCCAGAGCCCTGCACCTCGGTAAGCCGACCTGTTGGCCCTCCCCTGTCCCAACCCTGGGGCTCGGGGGGGCGGGCAGGCTAGTTCCCCTCCACTCCTTTCTCACATTCTCCCTCTCCTGGGCCCTAGGCACAGCCCTCCGCCCCTCCCAGCCCCCTCAGTCCCCCTGTCGCTGGTCGGACTGCCCCAGCCCGCTGTAATGTGAGGCTCCTGCTGCCGCTACAGGGCGCAGACTGGCTGCCAAGGCCACGCTTTTGGCTAAAAGACGTGCTGCCAGGTGCACAGCCCTGGGCATGAGGCTTTTAAGCTGTGGGGGAAAGCCCAGGAAAGGTGCCTAGAAGAACACGGAGCAGGACCCCTGTGGTGAGTATCTGGCTGGCAGAAGGGGGTGCAAGGACTGGAGGACCACCAAGTGGCCCCAGACTGTCAGGAGGGAGACTGGGCATGCCCTGCCCTCAAGAGACCTGCTCCTGAGCTCCCCCTAGTGCAGGGGGCCACTAAGGCTGCCTGGCCCAGCTTTCCCTCCATCAGTGACAACAGTCACTGGCCTGGCCCCTCAAAGCCCTATTCGGTTAGCCGAGCACACCTGGCCCTGGAGGACCACCACACTGGTAAGGCCTGGGGAGGTCTGGCCCACAGGTATGTAGATGTTCTGTGGGCTATGGGGTGGGGGTGGAAGGTGACAGCTGGGACTCAAGGACAGACCTGCTAGTGAGGGCTCCAGGGCCCCAGAGAGGTATTTGGGAATGCCAGCCAATGTGGGTTCACCAAAGGGTGGTGGGGCTCAGAAAGGCTGGCTGGGCTCAGGAAGGATGGCTCGTGGGGGGAACTTATAAGAGCAGGGCCAGGCTGCCAGACCTACAGGAGGCTGGAAGGGGGACGGACCTGGACCAGCTCTCAGAGACCCGGTTGAAGTGGAGGCCTGACTGGTCCTTTGGGGAATTGCTCAGACCTGAGTCTATTTGAGCGTTAAGGAAGAGCCCATCCACCCTTTGAGTCAGCAGGCTTGGCAATGCTGCCCCCTGGTGACCATAGGGAGCCATGCCCAAGCCCTATGTTAGAGGGCCCATCAGCCCAAATCATGGGCTGGCTCTTGAGGGCCATCTGTGGCCAAAAGAGAGAACTCTGGTAGTTCGAGGTCCAGACTGAGATGTGAGAGGAGCAAGGTACAGCAGCGCTGGGTGGGCAACACAGGCTGAGGCCTGGGCCTCGCTAACATCAGTGAGGTCAACAGCAAGCAGCCTAATGCTTCTCTAGGCCATAGCATCCTGCTCTGTGACACGGAGAAAAAGCTCCCTATTCCCTTCCCCAGCTGCTCCTGGAAGCCCCAGCCCTGCAGCACAGAGCAGGAAGGTCCCGAGGAAAGAGGCCTTGTGACATTAGACAGTCGCTGAGCTTCTCTGAGCCTTATTTGCTCAGGTGGAA